TTCGAGACAATTTGCAATTTAAATGCTTCGTGACGCCTGTCAGGATGAGAGTGCCAACTAATGAGAGCGACGAATACGGGTCAAGGGCTGTTTTAAAGCTGCAACTGCAACTGCAACTGTAACACTCGGAGGGCGGTTCTTCCACCTTTTACAAAGATCTGAACCATTTTTGTCATTTAAAAGGTTTCGTCGTTTAAATTTCTCTCTAGCATGTAATGGTCCTTCACCACATCTTGCGCTTTATCGGGTCTTTGTTAATTTAGAATTACAGAAATTTCTTTTTTATTGCCCTCTTTGTTTTCAATCTTCCCTCTGTACCTCGCCTGAATGACTATTTTTGCACTTTCTCATGAAATGGCAGTTGGGGATTTGTTTCAATGAAATTACAACTAGCCTGATCGTGATCACTCTGCATATTTTGCAATTGAAAAACGCCATACTGTCTGATAGGTTCTGCACTAATTCATGGAAGTGAATGAGTATAGCCTGGTTGAGCCTTACGTTTTACAGATACAACAAGATTTGTGTCTGAAAAGAGGTGCTTTGCTTAACAATCCTTGGGGTATGAATCATTTTCGGCATTTCTTGCTACATACTTTCTGTGCTTAATTAAAAAGTGCACTTATGCCTTATTACGTTTCGCGCTCGCTAGACTTTTCACGCTTTACGGTTAGAATATATAGACGTCTTCTATTCTACCTTATCTTCGTGGAGTACCTTTTCCTCTTTATCATTTAACAGTTTCCTACATTTAGTCGTCTGGAAATTGCGTCTTTTTTTAGTTACATGTCGTCCTAGTTTGAACGTTTCAACGCTTTAGAATTAGAGTAGAGAGATTTCCTCTTTTCCTCGTATTCTTTTGGGATAAACATTTTTTTACCATAGAGCATTTTTCCTCATTTAGTCATTTAGAAATTGCACTCACTCCTTGTTACATTTCGTGCTCGTTTGGGGTTTTCACTCTTTCGAAATTAGACCATAGGGATTTCTCTTTTTTTTTTGCATTTCCTTTTAATATTCACTTCCTCTGCTCTCCCGCATTTTCCAAACTCGCTACTTTTCTCTCCCAGAGAAATGAATGGAGATTTGTTTAAACGAAGTTGTAATTAAACCTGACCCATTTGGAACAATTTGCAATTCAAATTCGTTGCCACGGTTGTTAGGATGCGTGCCAGCTAATGAGAGTGCATGAATGTATGCTGCGCTATGGGCTTTACAGGTGTAACTAGAACTGCATTCGGCTAATTTTTGGTCGAAATATGAAAGTATTCTGCTTTTTAATCCTCTTCGTTCATAACCTTTTATAGGGTATATTAACTCTTTCTCATATTCCAACCGTTGTTTCGTACAATTACAGGGTAAAACCTTTAGAATAATCTTATTACGTTTTCTCGGCGGTAGAAAATTCACTGTTTTGTTCGGTCCGGCTCTTAACTCTAAAAAATTGCAAATCCATGTTTTTGGCACTTGCATCATTTTCCATGATCGATTTTCAGTCGCCGCGTGTCCGTGACGTCAGTGTTTATTAATTGATACGTACTCAGTGAAGGTTGCTGATCCTTGCGAATTCCTAATATTCATTGTTCAATGGCCCGATATGCCACAGAGCTATGCCCTATCACGAGTCATGTCAATCAGGGTGAATCGTTAATTTACTATTTATAGAAATATCCGATCGTTGAATGACGGATCCAATAAATTTCATCATTAAGGAGCTGCCGATTTGAAATGAGTAAGAGAGATGTTAAAAGATGTTAGAGAGTAAGAGATGTAAAAAGATGTTAAAGAGTAAGAGATGTTAAAAGATGTTAGAGAGTAAGATATGTAAAAATATGTTAGAGAGTAAGAGATGTTAAAAGATTTTAAAGACTAAGAGATGTTAAAAGATGTTAGAGACTAAGAGATGTTAAAAGATGTTAAACGATGTTTGCTATCAGGGAGATGAGTTGGGAGCAGAGATAAGGAGAATCCCTGAATTAGGCCGTCATTGGGGGGTATCAGGTGGCAAGTGCATTAGCCGTCCCACATTCTGCACCAGGAGGCAGCGCAGGACGCGATCGCGCGACCGTACCCGTGAGAAATCTCATCTTATCTCAACAACTCATCTCTGTGAATACTCTGGTAATCGATAAACTCGCATTTGAACGGGATAAAGGCCAAAAAAAGTGTCTTATGCGCTTCTATGCTAAAACGATGGTAACAAGAGGTCTCGGAGTGAAAATTTAGTTGACACGAAAATCACAGATTGGCGCAGGGGGTCACTCTGCAGTCAGTTAGGGCTTCAGAAACCATGAATCCAGGGGATTTCTGGAGTTTTATTTCGATTTCTTTATAATTATTGTATGAAAACGACAGATGGAGTACCCTATTTGGTTCAATACTCGATATAATTCGACATAGCTGTCAATATAAAAACGAACGTTGGCAACGTAGGTATTTAGAAAAACCTTTCTCACCGATGTCAATCAAGTTCCCCGACGTCCCTAGGAGCATAGAATAATTTTTAAATATTTCTTTGTAATCTTTGCTAAATATCTCAAGCGACAGATTTTTTAAGATTTCTTGTAGATTTAATTCGAAGATATCTGAAATATTTGTTGAAAATCTCAATGACATATTTAGNTACAAAATGTACGATAAATATATGTACGTTAAATATATAGAAAATATCGGACAAATATTTTGTGCTACTAGGGGTGTTTCACTTCACCTTAAGTAAACCAACCTAAATTTACGAAAATTCGCGTTAATTCGCGCAAATTCGCAGCATATCCGTGCAGATTCTCGCAGATGCGTGCGGTTTCGTTGGAAATGTAATTTCGTGCCAAATTCGCGTGCATTTCCCCAAATTCGCGCATATTCGCTCAAACTCACCCTATAGGTCCCTCAAAATTCAAAGCGTTTCGCGCGAGTCCGCGTAAATTCTCACCGATTCGCGCAAGTACGCGTAAATTCTCACCGATTCGCGTAGACTCGCGCTCGCTCGCGGCGCGATTAAACCCGACGGAGCGTCCGCGACGTTTAATTCAGACTCGACGAATCCCGCGGTGAACAAATCGTCCAGAAATTCCCGGGGGAATTCGCTCGTCTCGGGTGGCTAACGTCGAGATCGTCCAGCCCCGCCCGACGAAGTCGAGTCACGGCGGAATTTATGTCTTCGACGTCCCGGAGTCTCCCCGGAATGAAGGAGCAAGCCCTTGCCAATTCTCCCGGTCGTTTGTTCGTCGCCATTTTATATTTGGTTCGTAAAGACCCGGCGTTATCCTATGGGGTAGGTGGACCCCCCGTCATGAATTAATCATTAAAAGATCGCCACCTTCGGTCCCTGGGGCGCGCGTGTCGTCTTTGGGATTCTCCATCGGACCTTACCGAGGAACATCTTCCTCTATTTCTCCCGAAAAGGAATGTAAGAGGTAAAAGGGACGATTACCGCGGATTTCCGAATCGGTACATCGTTTACGTTTTTTAAATAATTTTCATTTCGATTGTTGATCGATGCTGGCCGCCTTTGTAATGAAATTGGGCCTTGCCGAAAGCAATTTAGCGATCCTTTAACGAGACGGCATGCTATATTCTTTGTATTACTTTGAATTAATATGTATATATAAAACGGGGTTTCTTAATGAGTAGTTAATTCATGTCCATTAAGCTTTATATACGATGGTGATACCTGGACCTCCAAAGTGGGCTTTAAATACAGTCGAAAGCACCATGTATCGAAACGATGGGACCTCGTTCGGTTTATTTTCATTTTTCACGTTTAATTTTTATTTAATGCTGCGAAGTCGCGCCGGTTGCATATTTATTTGAAAAGGGATTGGCAAGTTGTTTATTCGATTAGTCGTCGAGAATCGGTACATGATCATAGGTCCAGCGTCGTGACGATCCTTTAATTGAAAACTAAAAGTCAGGATTATGAACACGATCATTGGATTGCACGTTTTATTTTGTATAAATGTAAGGGTACGCGTCCAGACTAATACTTTTTTATGCGTAATTTATATGCTGGGAGCAAAGTGATAAACGGGTGCTGCGAACATTGTTCTATTCATAATGCCCATATTTGTCCCTTTGCTCATAACGTACATACGGTTACGTATAGAGTTCATTTTCCTACGCGCAATGCATAAACAGGCCAAGTTTGCCCGATTTCGGAGCCATTTGCACCCTTTTCCTCTCTCTTTGATAAACAATTTATTTTACCCTGGATTTCATAACCACGCCCAGCGAGGCAACCCAAGCAAAACGCTTCAACACTAGACGCGTTGCTCCCGCTTTTCCATAAAACACCCGAAGTACGTCTGCAATTTAAATCGACCCCATCAAGAGCTCTCAAGAAATATTCATAATCGCTATTGAATCTACACTAACCGCTCTCTGTTTCGCGAATCGTGGTTTTCCCACAAATGCGGTCACTCCCGTTCCCGTCCACCTGCCTAAACCGCGAAATCCGTCCCTCATATGTCGATACACATCTCCGTGCGTGTTATCATTAAAAAAGAAAAGCCCACTCTATTTCCACCTTCCCTTCCACCTGAATACTGGTAAAAACTGGGACCGATACCCTTTCAGAAAAAATCCAGAAAATTCCTCCTCGGTCTAACGGAATCAATCGAGATTTCGCAAGCTTGCGGAGCGCCGTGGGCGATACGGTAATCGCGGTCAAGTAGTTTAAAATCGGTATCGATCACCAGACCGAAGCGACTGGTCCAACGTGAACCTCTCTACGTCACTTCCAATCGTCGTTTCAGGGGCGACTCGCCCAAGTAGGAGGTTAAGATCGAACGGAGCTCGATCGGAGTCGATCAAGGCCGGAATACCGCGGTGTCACCCTCGGGGAGGATCGAACGGGCAGAGACCTTGAGGCACCATCCTCGACCTCGCACTCGCTCTTTTTCCTAGTCTCTTTTTTCCGTCATTCTCTTTTTTTCTTTCTCTCGTTTTTCTTTTGGCCTATTCGTTTCTCGATAAATCTGCTCTTTGGAACGATACGTATATACCCTCCGTTATGCTTGAACTGCAGAAGCCGGGACAGTCGGCCACGACGAGCGAGGCTCCGGGGATTGCCGCCCGCTACGACTCTGCCAACACAACAACAACACTCCGCTCACGTGGTCTAATTCCTAGGCTCTAAGAGGAGCTGGTTTTCGCTGCCTAAGAGACAATGGGTCCTGGCACTTGGTTCAGGTCGAGGGGGTTTGAGATTTTCCGCGGTCAATCGCTAGGGAAATGCTCGTGCCCTCGCTTTGCTCTTGTTCCGTTGGATGGGCACCCACGTGCTCGCAACGTGCCCCTGGTGTAGCGATGTGACGAGCCGAGTACTTTAACTCGTTAAACTCCAGTCAAGCATGTATTCGAGTCATTCTTATTGTAATTCGAGTTATTGGTACAAATGAATGCCGGTTACAAGGGTAAGAGCGAGACCGGGATACTCGTACCGAGATACCAATCACGTCTTATTTGTTTATTCGAGTAATCGTTATTCGAATTGTTTTACTCTCCAACTCGCCATTGATTCGACTCGTCGCGCCGGATGTATGGGACATCGAGTTGGCAATGTCGAGTAACTCGAGTCGATGACGTACTCGACTCGTTATATCGCTTCGACTCGAGTCGTTTTACTCGCCAGCTTGCCATTGACTCGACTCATCGCGCCGGATGTATGGGTCATCGAGTCGTCGACTCGAGTTGGCAATGTCGAGTAACTCGAGTCCACGAAGGACTCGATTCGTTGTATCGCTTCGATTCGAGTCGCCGTTAATCGAGTCGTTTTAGTCGCCAGTTTGCCATTGACTCGACTCGTCGCGTCAGATGTATGGGACATCGAGTTCGCAATGTTCGAGTAACTCGAGTCGCCGTTAATCGAGTCGTTTCACTCGCCAGCTTGCCATTGACTCGACTCGCCATCGAGTCGTCAACTCGAGTTGACAATGTTCGAGTAAGTCGAGTCGATGAAGTACTCGACTCGAGTCGCCGTTAATCGAGTCGATCTACTCGCCAACACGCCATAGACTCTACTTGCCGCGTCGAATATATGCAGTATCGACTTATCGACTCGCGTCGAAACTAGAGTTGGCAATGCTTTCGAATTCGAGTAACTCGAGTTGGCAAAGCATTCGACTTGTCACATCACTACCCTGGGGTGCTTTCTTCGAGATGGGAACGTTTGTCGCCTGGAAGGGTCGGTAAAAGGGTTGTGGTGTCTTTTTTTGGCTGTGGATTTGGGTTAGACTGTCACTTGCAAAAGAGGAAATTCGAGAAAATTTCAAAATATTTGTATCGTATACGAAAGTGCGGGTTCTGTCACATGTTATTGAATTTTTGTGGCATTTCAAGCGAATGAATGTGGGGGTTGAGCAGATGGACGAAAATTGATCTGGAATCAGCGGGAAGAAATCAATTGGAAATCTCATATTCCGCAGTCTACGTGTTATTTGATATTCCTTAATATTGCTTGTATGCATGTAATTGCTAATATAATGAGACAGAAAATGCTCTGAGCGAAGATAAAAATACTTTGTCACGTGGAATATTTAGTGACGATGTAAATTAATTTTCTTTGTTTCAAAGGGCCAACTATATACATATATTAAAAATGCTAGACTAATTTCTGTTTGTTCATTTCCACGAAGATAGCTTGATAAAGTAATTTCAATGAAAGTACTTAAGTCTAATTATTTAAAAATGAAAACTTTCTCAAACTAATTAGACCGAATTCATATACATGCAAGGACAAAGTATGATTACAATTCATTCGTCATATGTTCCACGTTTCCAATACTTGAATTGTCGAAGATAAGACTTGGTTAAGCTGAGTTAGTTTGGATTTGGGAGAATTTGACGACTTCCTGGATCCAGGATCTTGAAGGAGATTGTGGAGGGAGTAAACTCGGAAATGATTGGAGTCGGTACGAATTTCCGTGCACCGGATTTAGGAATGTTCCTTAATTACGCGTTCCCTTCAATTGTGATGAAACGATCTAATTGCATCGATAGAATTTTGCATTTATAATTACACAAATTTATTAACTCGTCTAAAATTCCAACTTTAAGTACTTATTCGTTTCAAAATTTGCAACGATATCCTTTCGTCCGTATAAAGAGTAACAAAATTAAATGCTCACAGCACACTTACGAGATTACTGACATTTGTTTAAACCCTTTTTTCTAAAATAACAGTAAAAATGTACTCCCTCCCTTTTAGCTGATATGTTATCATAATATTTAAAATTGCAATATTTTAAATAATACATACAACAAGAAATATAACACCTTGCTCATAGAAACAATATTTCAAGTTTCAAATAATTTTAAATGACACATGTTCAAATTTGACCTTCTTCTAATATTTAAGCACCGCGCCTATATGCAATTTTGGTATTAAAGACGCATTAATATTAAAAAATGTTAATAATACCATGTTATTAAAACATCGTTCTTTGTATAAGTGCGACTCATTTGCGTATAGTAAAAGTAAAAGTGTAAACCTGTTAGAGGATGCTATTTCAATAACCGGTCATAAACTTATTACTGACCTGTCCTAATACTGGCTGCCCCATTTCCACAATCCTAATTGATCGAAAGTAGTTCTCGTAAGTGGAGCAGAGCGGTAACAGGTCGATTGTCGGTAATTAGAACATTAGCCTGATTTCCGACATCGAGACGAGCGACCAAGCTCCACCATGATAAAAAGCCCTACCATCGAAGTGTTCATTTTTGACGGGCAAATAGGAAGTTGATTACAGGATTAAATGGTATTTTGCAAGCGAGGTTTCTGGATGGCGGTACTTCAGGGAAGCGGTTTCCCTAATTTCCTCTCTTTGTCTATTTTCCTTCCCCGTGACACATTAAGACGATCAATTATGTCTCTAATTTCGAGCTCTCAAGTGCCAAGGAACCATTCCCTCTTAAGCATCCCCGATCTAAGGATCGTACGTAAATCTACATTCCTCTATATCGTTATTAACATTCTACATCTAATATGTAATAAGGATAGAATACCGAGACTCGTGTCGGGCGTTCCATGCAGGTGCATTAGTTTTCTAAATAGTTTCTTTGGCGTCACTCAACAATTGCAAATAAAGAAGAGGGACTCGAAACGATCTTTTTCATAAATTCTCCCTCCTATGAAGTAGAAATGCCATAAATCAATATTAAAAATCTCCAAATTAGTTTTTTTCAAGCTCTCCAGGAACACAGCAGGTTAAGGTGAATATCTCAGTCGACGAGACTTTAAGGAAATACTATTGGGAAATATTTCATCCGCGGATAATTGCACTTTTATCTAACGAGGCTAAAGATAAAAAGAATCACCCGATATGCAAACTAATTATTGTAACACTTTTTAAATCGTAGCTGTATAAATAACAGCAAGAACGAGAAAAACTGTTAAACCAGGAAGGATGAGAATTGAAATTGCCATGGACACCATTATCCAAGCACGTGCGCTATTTAGCCGGTAAGGGTTAAAACCAATGAAAGGTTTTACAATCACGGACCAATAGTCATCCACTGGGACATTCACCTTAAAAAACTCCCCTCGTTTCTGCAGAATATTGGAAGTTTTCTCCACAATGCTACGAGCCGGCATCGTTGGGTCAAGCTCCTGCAAACACCACGAAGTGGTTTCGCGATCGCGTGGGAAAAAATGGCACACTCTCTCCGGGAGTCCTTCGACGAGTTAAGCGGACGGCGAAAGAGGTATCGAAGGGGTATCGAAGGGGTATCGAAGGGGTATCGAAGGGGTATCCGGGAAAAGTGGCGCGAACTCGCTAGGAACGCCCGACGGTCCGGTCCTCGAGTTCTCGTAAAGTCGGTTAGACTCACTCGGCGTTGGTCTCTGGAGTGGGCAGGTCGCCGATGGTGGTGAGGGTGAGGGTGGACCAGTAGAGCGAGCCCAGGTACTTCCTGGTGAGGGTGGCGTACTCGCCGGGTCGATAGGGGTAGACCCAATCGCCCTGGAAGCCTTCGGCCTCGCTGAGGAGGTAGTAGAAGCACCCGAACCAGTGGGCGAGTATCAGCAGTATGTGGATGAGATTGAGCACCCGCCAGAGGTTCGGGTAGACGGTGCGCGACTCGACCATGTAGTAGTAGTTGTAGACCCGGTAGACCTTGAGGAACCTGGGGAACCTGAGCATGGGGTTGCTGCCGAGGTTGACCTGTAGCAGGTCCAGGGGCAGGAGGGCGAGCAGATCGAGGACGAAGGATTTGGACTTGAGGTAGTGGCCGGCCAGTTTCTTGCTGTTGTAGACCATCAGACCCTGTTCCAGGTAGCCGGTGCGGATCTGGACCCCGACGTCCAGGAAGAAGACGACGTCGGTGAAGCTGTCGCAGGAGAGCCAGGCCTCGGGCGCCAGCGCCTGCAGCTCGGGCAGGCTCTGCCTGACGATCAGCGTCCACAGGTTGTAGAGGACGCAGGCCGAGAGCAACATCAGCCAGTAGTAGTAGAAGTTCTCGTCGGGGTTCACCACGGTCTTTGGGGGCTTCTGGGGACGGCGCGGCCGGCGACGACGACGCCCGGAGTCCTTCTCGTCGTTGGCGTCGCCTTCGCCCTCGGCCGTGTCCAGCGTTTCCTGGCTCTCCGGTATCTGCCGGGTGGAGAACCGCTTCAGGAAGGAGTCCTCTCGCTTCAGCGGTGGCTTCTTCTGGATGGTCGATATGGCCGAGGACAACTGCACCGTCGTGCGCAGCTTCATCCACCGCTGGTTGCTCTTCGTTCTGCGAATCATACCGGGCGATTAGTTAGGGGGTTTCCCTCTCGGGCAGGGGTTGAGACTCGGGACGCTCTGGGAGGACCCAGCCTGGAGGCACCGGAACGCGGTTGTCCGAATTAATGAAACCTACCCGCTCCGGGAAGACCCCGAGGTACCGTTCCTCTGGGTAGAAAATGCGATTTCGTTCCAACGTGTCAACGAATCGATCGAATCGGGATGGTTCCTATATTCGACATCCTGTCTGGGGATCTTTTGAGAGGCGGTCGGACTCGAAATGCCGTCGTCAAATTTCATCCGTGCATGTTAGACGCGGTCCCGAATTCTTCGTTTGCAAGTCGTCCGTGAATTTCTGCGTCCACCGCTTTGATTTGAATAATCGTAAGCGTTTCCAACGTTTTACTCGATTTGCTAGAAAAATGAGAGCCGCGCAAGACTTATGTTAATTTCCACGCGGCGCTTGGATACGGTTATCGCTTTCATAGTGACGGTTTCTTTTCTAACGAAAACGTTCCGTCGTGTTCTTAAAACGGACCGGGCACTGCGTTCGTCAAAGAGGTCTTTAAGTAGATCTTGTCAAACCGCGTGCCAATGGAACCGGGTCCTCCAAGAGGACATCGCGCGGTTATCAAAACCACTTATCTCTAGGACCTAAGGTCTGCATCTTCGCATCCGTAGGAGGTTTCTGCTTCTTCTTTTTCTTTTTTTTTTTTCAGAAAATTAAAGGGAAATCGAGTAGCGAGATAAAGTCCAGGGAGAGAGACAGACAGACAGGCAAACAGTCAGACAGACAGAGGCAGAGATAATCCTGTGTAGAGAGACAGAGGACCGAGGTAGCGAGATTTTCCGCGGTTTTTGGCGCAACGTTGATTACTCGGTAAATCTCGTTACGCGTGTACTTACTTCCAGCGTCTTGCAGGATTTCTCCGGGGTTCGTTAGGTATATTTCCGGATAAATCATTTTGCAGATTACGGACGGGGTCCGTGGCTATAAATAAAAAGTATTATCGGATTGGTGACATCTCGAGGAGCACTTATACACAGCTTAACCAAATCGAAGCGGGAGCTAAACATCGAGTGTCTCGCAAACTTTGTGCAATTAGATCAGGATTTTCTAAGCGATGCAGCAGGAGTGGTTCAATACTTTGAAGCGCACTTGGAGAATGTATGTCAACTTCCTCAAATCCATCCAGTTTTCCGTACTTCGAGCGTTTATGGCAACTTTAGGGGAGGAATTATCCCGGTGGACTGGAAAACTTTCCTTCGGCGTTCCCGCGTTTCGTTCGAGTAAATCTCGGATGCGGCGATTAATCACCAGGACGGCTAAGGATTCTATCCTGGGAACTTTATCATAGAATAGGCTGGAATTGTTCCCAGTTCTTCCCAACAGTTGCCAACATTGCGGTGGGACAATGCGAGGAATTGCCAAGTTGGCTTTGTTACGATTCTTACGCCCCGAGAAGGAAAAAGGCGAAGCTAAATCAAGATTTACCAGATTGTTTGTAAAAATCAACGTCGCTTGAGAAAATCGACAAAATAATATAAGAGTATGTGTAAAGATCGCAACTTTCTAGTGTCTAATAATGTCAGTAATTTTTTAAGATTACCTTCAGTCGGTGTGTTAAAAATTTTAATAATTTCGTTGTTAATTTTTCATGTTTTAATACACGAGACCCGTGTATTTTGTACAGTACGTTATTGTAGTTTACTTTGCAAAAAATGTGACTTATCGAAACTGTACGTCAATACCTTGAAATTTTAAATGTTCAAATCGGATTTGAATATTTCAAATTGGAGAAATTAAACAAAATTGTTTAACCTTTTCGATACTACGGGTGACTATAGTCGCTTATCATTGCACACTTGTTATACCTTACAGATGTAGTTACCCCTCAAAATGTTGCATTGCTTCACGAGTTTAGTCGAACTTTTTGACCATTTTCTAATTTCAGACTTCCCAAATTTTAGGAAAATCGCACTGAGGTCTAATTAATCGTCAGCATTGCAGACCTTCATCGCGATTGATTAAGTGACCCAAAGGCTGGATAGTTTTTTTGGGGTCCTGTCTCTCGAGGGTGGTAGAAAGTAATGACGCAAAAAATTGAGGGAGTTCTGACCAAAGGCAGGTTAGAAATGCGAGAAAAAGTCTATGGAATTGTCAAGAAGAGGCTATAAAGAAGCAAATGTGAGGTATTAGGAATCAACTTGCTGAAATGGCGCGATTCTCTTGTTAATTGCCACCAAATCACATGTAAATTTAAATAGGACTCGTTTATATCTCTTGAAAATTTGCCCTTTCAAATGCTTCATGTATTCGAGTCAATTGGTCATTTTCCCTAATAAATAAATACGAACGTATGTCCCATTTTTAAGTGTTTCATGAACGAATTAAATGTTATCTATTAATTTGAAAAGCTAAGCGCTATTTGGTAACCGAAGAAAAAATGTTACGAAACCACTATTGACATTTGCCAATTTCCGCGAGGCCGTGTACAGGATTGATACGACCAATGAAATAGTGTCGAGACGAAATAAATCTTAAGAGATATTGACGGAATTGTTACGGGATGATAAAAACAGGTGAAATGAGAGATGTTCAGGGGGATAAACTTGGGGAAATAAATAAGAGGCTTCGTAAAAAAGAGCTCTTTTATGTGTTCATCCGATGGTGTATGTATGGACCAACCTGAATGTTTTATTACTCGGCAATTGAAATCGAGAGCTAAATGAAGAATATCGAGAATCGAGCACCGCCTCTCCGAGTTGAATTTCCCTTATTTTCGAGGGATCATGTCAGAGGTCAATTAATCGCAAGTATTGCCGGCGATGGTCACGATTGATAGGACGACTTGGAGATCGAATAGTTTTTCCGATACTCGATCCTGGGAGAACGAGGAAAAGCAATGACGGAGAAAACCGAGAGAAGTCTGCCGGGTCGGCGGTGTAGGACAAAGGAGCAAGAAAAAGTCAATCGAGTTGTCAAGAAGGAAGGAAAAGAAAGAAGGAATTTGAGACTTTTGAGAGCCGAGCAACGCCGAGCCATCGCAATCCTTCGCGATTACAAAAGAAATCTTTCTCGAGAAAGAGCCCTTTTGATATATATCCTCGAAAAGTTCTTTGACTGGAAGACTCCAATTTCACGAGCCACTATTTACGCGGATGAAATGACGGAAACAGAAATAAGTACTGTCGAATTCAGCCAACCTTTCTCGTGCATTAATTGATACCCGATTTAGGGACACATTTGGATGTATTAAATGTTATACAATTTAACTAAAAAATATCCTCCCCCTATACGGTTTTTCGAAAAGAAAACTTCGGAGATCCTCAAGCTTTGGTCGTTGACCCATTTCCTAAATTTGCGTAAACTTTTAACAATTACTTCATGCAGTTTTTGGATAATATAAGTAGAGTTCTTAGAGATTTCTGGGGATTTCCTTTCTTTCCCTTGAAATCTCTTTAATTCAACTACAGAGATATTAAAGAAAGCTTATGAAAGAACAAAAGAAGAACTCTTGAACAGACTATCAAGGAGGAATGGAAATAGACTTCTTGTGGAAAGGATTCTCCGAATAAAAAAAAAGAGCAATATCGAGCTTTTATAATAATGCTCATTGATAAGAAAAGAAAGTTGCTTCCACTTTTTTACAGGCAATCGACGTGGCTGACAATCCACTCCCTAAGACCCCACTCGAGAAGCTTTGCTGTAATTGATTTTAAAATCCGGGATTTTTCTATTTCCTTTTTAATCCCCTTCGGTCGGTGCAACGAAATCATTTCGACCGAAGGACTCTGTCCAGGGGTTTGCACATTTCATTGGATTTATGCAAATTGAATGCCTTGTACATTCGCTTATTTACAGCCGTTCGCTTCAGAAAGAGCTTCGTAAAGCTCTTTCCAATGCACCATGAATCGAGGGCAAAAGTGTCTTGGTTACAATAGGGCATTAAAGAACTTTAACGCCCTTTCTCTTGGCGAATTGATGTTTCTCACTTAACACCGTTCGATCGATTCAGCCTAGTATAAAATGCATACTTTTCAACTAATTTATTAAGAAGTTGGATGGGGAAGTTACCTCAATTTGAACTCATATAATGATTTGACTACGCTGTGCCCATTTAATAATGTTAGTATTTATCATGCTTTTTTGATGCTACATTTACCTAAAGGGATTCAAATCCACTATCTAAACTTGATAACTCGATAAACCGCAAAACAAAAATTTGACTGCGAAAAGTTGCGTCTTTTTACCGGAGTGAAAGTTAATTATGTTAGTTAAATGTTTCAATTGTGGAATAAACCAGATATGACAAAAATATAACCGAGCTGAAATAAAGTTAAAATTAAAATTAAAAGGTTATTCATTAATTTAGTACATTCTAAAATAAATTTGAATCAAGGAGTTCTAAAATGAATATTCCATGATCAAATTCGCTACATTATTAATACACAGCTGATAGAAATAATGATTCCATTAAGTTGGTTAGTTATCGAAGACGTAAATTCTTCAATTATGAATTTAAGTATTAAAAATATATTTATTTAAATATGATAATTTGTTATCTTAAGCACATCGATGTGTGTTCCATTAAGAAGATACTCGAAGAATTTGTTGACCAGACAGTTATAGAATTCAAAGAAACAATATCTATGTCGGCACCGAACATGGATTCTTTTTGGAAACTTATCGATTTTTTGATAACCTACTTGATTGTTTTAATCATTTAAAGCTATTCAGATTTAATTTTTTCCACCGGCAATTGAATTAATCACGGACTTGCCGTATCAAAAAATTCTTTTAAAAACGGCTCAAAGATCCGAGAGAAACTCGAGAAACAGAGAGGGTGAATCCAGGAAGCAGGAGATAGAGTCGCTCGAAGTTATCGAATTGCAGGAAGAAGTGATAGGTCATCGGATGTATCGTAAGTGAAATAAGGATTGACAAGGTTATCGAACTGCGGAAGGCGGGAAGAGTGATTCCATTAGGGTGTAGGGAACCCAGAAAAGAGATCCCCTTTTATTGCAGACTGCTATAGCTTTAAGTTTTGCACTATATACGGACTCTAGTAAACTATGCTCAGACAGGGTAGAACTTGCATTTTTTTTTCGTTTACCACAACTTTTAAGAAAATAAGATCGACAAACGTTTAATAATAATGCGAATGAAGTCGAAATAGCTCCTAACAGAAATCGACTAAGGTCGATTGCACACATGCCGGCAAAACCGGCACCGACTTTTCTGCCAAAAACAATGTAACTTTCATTTATTTACAGTATTACTATAGGAAACAACCGATGCTCGGCACCGGTTTTGCCAGTTGGGTTCAAACGGCGTAATTTATTATATTTTTTTCCATGGTGTGGTCAGAATTGACGTGCTTCTATGCAGTAAATTCGAGCCTGAACATTATCAACGCTACTGATTTGTTATAGGTATATCGATTACATATCAATTTTTTTTTTATTCACTAAATCGAATACTTTTTTCGAAAAGCAATGACATGTACTTACCGTGGAACTATTTTGTCGTTCCTGATTGTATTGAAAAATGCATAATCTAAAGTGAAAATAAATCAGTCGACAGGAGGAATAACACGTATTCTCCTTAAATTCTTCAAGCTCCTGCAGCGTCGAGCAGATATAGTCAGCAAAGAAGAACTTTGTTCGCGACAACTTGGAAGTAAATTGTTTCTCAATTAACGAACACGTTTATGCTGGACCGGGTTATAAATTCCGGGAATTATTTTTCATTTGCCAAGTATTGGGCAAACTTAACTTTCGACGTTTCGGCATATTATTGCATGGACCGAACTTGGCAACTTTTCCGAGCTGAATCTACTGTAAACATTTTTTAGGAATTTTTAGAAAGGCTAGCATTTTACTTAACCTTTAAGTAAGAATGACAAGTGGCGAATAATGGCTCGGGAGAGATTCGAGTAGAAGGATATCGTCGCAGAAGGAAATAGGGGACCTTTTTAAGACGTTGTTAGAGACAAATCGACATATTCCTCAAGCGTAGGGGTGGAGTCGAACACAGGGTGAAACTTTTCAACTCGCGTGGGATATAAATCAGGAAACCACCGGAACAAACGATAAAAAATGTCTAAAAGTATCTCCGCTTATGCGAGTCTCGAAACCGCAAAGAGGAATGCGGAGTTTTCTCCAAGTCATAGATTACAGGGTGGAAGGAACGATGGGAATCCAGGAGTTTCAATATTTTTCGAAACGCGGACAACTGCCAAGTGAAGGAAACGAAAAAGCAGTTTCGATTATTCGTTGTGAGCATGTTTGAATAAAATTATCGTTGGGATGAAAATGGCAAATTCTGCCCGAAGGGTCGTAACCATAACTCGCGAGTCCAATTTAACATCGAGAAGATATGCAGAAAATGCGGTAGCAATAATACTATCTGATTATCTCGTGAATAATTATAAAGTCGCAAAATTGTCAAAAATACCCGAGAAAAAGAAGTTGATCGACTTAAAGGAATATGCATTGCAACCACAAAATCCTGCGATCAGATACGTCCAAAGGAATGTCAGCTTGAGTAAACAATGTAATTTTTCTTCTCAATCAAATAATTGTTTCTCGCAATTTTATATGATTCAAGCAACAATATATACGTCAACGTTGAAATGTGTTACTTTATCTCCGGTTAAAAGGCAGAGTATAGAATTTTGGTAACTGAGTATTTCGAATTTTTTAATTAGTTTGCGTTCTGTGTTGTACTCGGTAACAGTTTTTCCAAAGAATTCATATAGATAGTTAGATAATAATAGCAATCCATCAATTACTGTCAACGTTAATATTTTATAGCATGATTAATTGAAATTCGATTTTTTCGAGCACGAACTTTAGTGCAAAGAAAGGTTATCGTACATTTCCCATTCACTTTCCCACGGTATGATATCTCGGTTGGTCTTGTCTCATCCAATATATTTTCAAAACAAATCCTTCTTTTCGATCCAATCCCTTGTGGTAATACCTATTGGATGGTGGAAATCGTTAAAAAAAATTATATCTGCCCGCAAAGCGGGAAAAAAAGGAAAAAGAAGAGTAAAACGAAGAATAAAGGCGAAGGGAGGAGCAATCAAACGGTCAGGATTGGACGTGGAGTTGAAAGAAATCGAAGAGTGGAAATAAAAGGGGCTCAAGAAGGTGGTTTCGAAGAAAGTGCGCGACTTCTAAAGTGGTGCAAATCCACCCCTAAGTTGGCAGATCAGAGTCTGAACCTCTTGAATTTATTCACCGTGGAATGAGAGGGCTGCGTCGGTGCGTTCCGCCCTTAGGTCGAACCTTTGTACGGTTGTTGGTGCTTTGGCGCAGAACTTTGTTGGAAATCGAGAGAAAATCAAACACGCTATTGGCTGTGGCGGAGAGGTCCGTTCTATCAGCGAAGTCTCTGTGCGGAAGCATCCTTGGTTAAATGGATCTAGGATTACTTGGAATTCGTATAAGGATCTTAAATTACATAGGATTTGTATAATGCTACTGAATTACGTGGAACTCGTAGAAGGATTTTGAAAATGTCTAGAATATCGATCCATGGATGGTTAGAATGAGTGCGGTGTAATGGTTCTCCCGTTACTCGACTTTCACGATTAGTAGCTTTGTATAAAATTAAGGAACAAAAAAAAGAAAAACAAGGTGAAAAGGGAAAGTGAAGATGTAACGTTTAAATTTGTTTAATCAAGATATAAAAGAGCAAGATACGAGTATGAAACTCTTGGCAGAGATGATCATCTAGAAGAGAAGAGGTAAGTACCTGCCAGGAAGATAATTCACGACTTCGAGACTCGTGTAGATGGATTCGAGTCTTCAAAGGCTGGTGTATCATAGATCGCATTTATCGATCTTGCACGGCGAGCAATATAGTGCTATGTAGATGAATTTTATCCATAAACTGAACCTTTGCGCAATGACTGCGTTTTTAGTACAGAACTTTGACAGAAATGCGGGGAAAACCTTATTAATTCTATCAGAGAAATCCATTCTTTCGATTAAGATTCTACGTGGAAGTATTAAAGGTTCCAGACGGAGTTCTAAATTCTAAATATACTGGACGACATAAACGATACGTTGAATATTATACGTCGAATATAAAGGGAATCGAAGATTTTATTAAAACAAAGCACAAAGAACGACATACTTGGAAGGATCACGTTAGAGGCAACTATCTAGAGAAAGACCAAAGGCAGCTATCCGTCAAGAAGATGGTTCACGACCATGAAATATGTACAGATAGATCCGAGACTACGAAGATCAGCTGACTATAAATCGTACTTCCTGATCCTATTCAACGAACGATATAGAGTCACGATATTGCATTCCGTGTTTACATCGATGGAAAGTACTAGGATTCTAGTTGAAAGTCTTAATGAGATTGTGGAATGAACTTCACTAGTTCTACCAGCGAGGTTCATCTTTTAATCAAGGTTTTGCGTGGGAACGTCATGGGTTCTACCCAAAGAATTAAGTTTGTACTCACACTTCGCTTACAATTAGGGCGTTAAAAGGTATCTTCAGCCATTTAAAGACTACAGATAGAAGACGTCTTTTAACGTTAAAACTGAGGTATAGATACGGACCCTAGACTTAAACATATCCGATGAGTACCGAAACAATGGGCTCTATCTCTCGTTTCCCACATCCGAGCAAGAGGTGTCTGCAAAACGACGAGACTTAAATGAAAGAAGAACCAGACCGAGGAAGAGAAACGAAACAACGTTGAAGACGTAGCGTTGGATAACTGGAGTAGAGCGAGGCATAGAGACCTAAATACTTAGACGAATTGCGTTGCAGACCATTATCCATCGAAAAACGAAAGACAGTTTCCCGAATTTCCGATCTTGAAATGTGTGCAGATGGACACGGGTCTGTCAAGATCAGCTGATCATAAATTGAACCTCCCGATCCTGCGCAACGAGCACTACAGGGTCACGATAGGGCATTCCGTCGTTACATCGAATCCTTGCCCGAGTACCAGGGTTTTAGCCCAGAGCCATGATCGAATTGCAGAGAAAACCTCGTTGGTTCTCCCAATGAGGTCCGTTCTCTTCCGATCAAGGTTCTGCGGGGGAACGTCGCCGGTCTACCCAAAGACCTCGACTTTAACCTGTACGTCGAGTACCGAAAGAGAGAGCACCCCGACCTCTCGTTTTCCACATACGGGACTAAGACGTGTCCGCAAGACGAGGAGACTCTAAAGATAGGAGAAACAGAACGAGAGAAAGAGAAACGAAGACATAGCGTTGAGACTTGATTAGAGCGAGGCATAGAGAGCGAGACGAGAGGCACACGTAGGAGAACCGCGAAGACGAGGGAGCAGCCGTCCCTCCCCTGGGCCGCTCCAGGTCGGCAGATCGCAGGCTGTACCTCTTGATCTTGCGCAGCGAGGAATAGAGCGCCATGACGGCGCGAACGTTACTCCACTTTTGGGAGCCGCGCGTACTACGGGGTCTTCTGGCCGCGGCGATGACCTCGGCGTCGAGGCCGATGCTGTCCAGGGAGTTCGAGGTCGCCGGGCTCCCGGCGGGGCCGTCGCCGAAGGGTTTCCCGAGGGAACCTTGGCGCTGGCACCCTCTCGGTGACCTGCGGAGAACACAAGGGAACCGCTCTCTGTCCGTCTGTCCATCTCTCGGCGAAGCGCTTACCCGCTCGTCCTCGGCCACGCTCGTGTATCCGTGGGTACCCGCCGACCTCTTCGTCTATCTCTTTGTTTATGTCTTAAGTAAAATGGTCCCGAGCCCCGTGGAAGGCTGACTAGGAAGTCCCAGGTGGTATCTGGACTCTAGCTGGGACTTCCGCGTTCGGAGTTCCCGGCCATAGCCAGAATTGGTTAAAATTTGGTCGTGCATCCAAGACAGTTTTTCCTGGTTAACGTTGAGCTAAGACCCAGTCAGGATTTAAACTTGCCATCCCAGATCATTTTACTAGGCATTCCCCGTCAGCGACTAGCTAGGGTCTACTTAAAATTTAATTAATGTAATTTTGTCCGATTCTTTAGGATGTCCTAGCTAGACCCGCCGTAGAAAAGGGTGATATTTCAATTGAGGCCCTACATTGGTAAACTGGCATCCTGGCTAGGCGAATTTGGGGGACAACCCTAGAAATCGGGATGTACAGAGTCTTGGACAACGGTAGAGTTTAATCGATCTTAATTGGATGTTTGTCGACCAAGAAGTACCGTTCGTCACGAGTGAACCTCCGGAGATTCATCGGAAGATGTGTTATGGTTGTGGGTCGCATTGTTCCTCCTGGTAAAATTGTCATCGCGTACATAGTACATGTAATTGAAATAATTTGTAAGGGTATTGTTAGTTTTAGGTATTGATTTGTTGAGAAACGTTTATCCCTGATGTAGGTGGAATATGGAGCATTTGGAGTAATTCCGTTTGTACCAGGACGAGAATTGCTCCTAAGGGAGTTGACTCCTAATTATACCTAAACGTTCTGATTGTGCAGGTGTACAGAGAGAACCAGACAAGTTATATGTTGTACCCACTAATTGCAACTCTACTATGAAGACCTTGTTATCCTTAAATGTCTAGATTTCTCAGGACGAAGTCCTAAAGCTTGAATGAATTATACCTTAATATTAAACTACTGATAAGAAGATCATCACCGCAATCTTACTTCAGTTTTGATAATCTACCAAATTTTGTAATATTTTTCCAGAGGTTCACTTGCGACGGGCGTCATTGTTACATATTTTCCATATTTCGGAACTATAAAAGTGTTATTTGAACAATCTATCCATGTATCGGCCCATTACCAGGAATAGGCTGTATTCCTGTCAGTGATTTGGAGTACTCGTAACACGTTATTGAGTACGCAGAGTGTACTGTCTCAATCAATTGTACATATGCGTGTCATTTTAGACGGCTTCGTCGGGAAATTAGGTGAAACGCTTGTTGGTAATCAATCGAGTGTTGCGAGTATACCGTATAATAACTCTAATTTGGTAAAGAAGTATAGGATAATAATGTCAACTGGGTTTACTTAGAAAATCTCAATTGATTACAAATAAAATATATTTTAATTTCCCTTAGTGAACGCGTAAAAAATTCTTTACGCCCTTCCCTATTTAAAAATACAACAATTTTTAATCTAAAAACGATTCTTATGTCACTCTTTAAAGTCAAAGAAACACAACAATCGTGCTGTGAAACTTACCGTAAATTCAATTTGAATTGTGCAAATTGAAGTGCCGTTCATTAAAGCATTGAAAAATCACAAGTGGCATATATAACAGGGTACATTGGGGAGTAACAATAATCTTTGATAGTTATCTTTAACTCCTACCTGGATAAGTGCAACTTTAATTACGGAAACAAGGCCGGAAGAGAGGATTTGCTAAAATTATTATTACAGTCCATTGTACAAGTGCAATTTATTGCCAGTGCGGAGTGAAGCAGCAGTAAGTTATTATGCATTGGCCCTGTGTCATGATTTAAATGTTTACTCTTGGTTTGTTGGAACTGGCTTGTTGAACGAGTATTATACCATGAAGGGTGAATTTTTAAACGAAGTCAATGAATTACGAACACGAATAAATCATTTAATGAGTGTAAACCCTCCTTGGCACAGATATGCCACTGGAGTCATATTTTAATGAAATCGATGTGCGATATCTACAGCACTCATAGGCACACTTTCAAAGATTTATCGTAGTTGGATAATTTCATTAGCATTGCTAAATGTACGTGTGTAAATTATGCAATTGTATATATTTCATACAAAAGAAGCAAAACTCCGAACGTTTGTCAAAACTTGGACAGCTCTTAGTAGGATTAATTCTTGACATAAATTGTCTGTTATCTGTAATTCTTTCGAAAAGTTAAAATATGGGCCTCAATCATCTTTCCGAATCTTCCATCTCTCATTACCTACATTATCTTACGGGCCAATTGAGGTGAACCGAAACCCCCCTCAAATTAGTCGATTCGAATAAGACACTTTTTTGTAAGGGTATTGGATCGAACCGTCTGAAACTTTGACACATGATTCGTGGACACTTAGGAATTATTCTGACACTGAAAATTTGGATTTTTGAAAAAAAAGTTTGTTAACTTAGTCCAAATCAGAACCAAAATGGCATCGAGCTCTCATATTTTGATCAATAAACAATTATTAAACGCTCTAATATGAGAAACGAAAGTGTCAGGATAATTGTACGACAATTTAGAACACTCTGGTAATCGATAAACTCGCATTTGAACGGGATAAAGGCAAAAAAAGTGTCTTGAGCGCTACTATGCTGAAACGATGATATATGAAATCTTGGAGTAAAAATTTAGGTGACACGGAAATCACAGATGACATAGGGTGTCACTCTGCAGTCAATTAGGTCCTCAGAAACCATGAATCCAGAGGATTTCTGGAGTTTTACATAGATTTCTTTATAATTATTGTACGAAAACGTGGTGGAGTATGCCATTTAGTACAATACCCAACATAATTCGACACAGCTGTCAATATAAAAACGAACGTCGGCAACGTAGGCATTTAGAAAAATCTTTTTTACCGACGTCGATCAAGTTCCTCGACGTGTTTCACTTCACCTTAAATGCCTTATTCTGTTTATTTTCTGTACTAAATGGCAAGGCAATAAATACATATCAATGTTAAAAGTCCTAGTCGACATGTCGAAATCCTTCTGGTTTTACTCAGTTCACTCTGTCATGAAATACTTTACACTCGCGGAATGGAGTAGGAAATTTCTCCACATTATGGCGGGGCACTGTACCTTCCTATGAAGCGGCAGAAGTTCACTTAACTTCTGCCATGAACCTTCAGGGCTTCGGTTGTGGTTCTGGCGAGTTTACTAGTTTCTCGCACCTACGATGGGACGATCTTCGTGCCTGAACTGAACTTAACCTACGATCACTCTAATTCTGAAGGAAGTTTGCCGGGGCGTGTTGTAACGCCGCGCACACTCGAAAGACAAGTTTCCTTGTTTCCCTGTTTCCACCGTCTCAACGGCGTATAGATAACTTGTTTTCAAGTTCTGTTTCGACTGTTTCGACATTATTCAGAAATTTCAATGGATACGCAACCCGTATTATTGCCTAAAGTTTTGTTGGAACTCGAATAAGCGCACAGATTCCACGGGATCCTACCAAAGACTGCGAAAGCTTAATGCACTTAACTGCAAATGTTGCAATACACGCACTGATAATTAAAATCGAGCCACCTCTACGAAATCAATCGGAATTTATCATCGGAAAATATTTTCAGTTTTAAATATCCCACGAATTGAATTAAATTTGTTTTTCTTTCAATTACAATGAACGCGTTAAGGTAGACGGAGCGAAGAAATGGAGATAACTAATCTCTTCTTTCGAGAATGCAAGTGATAAATGAATTCAGACGAAATAGAGAAACTGTACCTCGTTTCCGCTGTTCTTTTTTATGCATTGTTCTTCATTCTTGTTTTTCGCAAGAAATGCCGGGGGGAAAATATAAATGGTTGAGAGAAAGAGACAACCCTTTTCAGCAGATGTTAATGTTAAATGTCATGTAGGTGTTCAATATCCGTCACTTAGTTGTACTATAGTTTCAACGGTGGCAATAAATCTCTAAAGGATTTCCCACTTCCGCGTCATCTTGATCGCTCTAAAGATTTTCCTCCAGAGTAAGGCAATAAAACCGTAATTCCGTGCGAGATTTGACGTAGTTAAAAGCAGATTTTCGAGACAAACGAGGCACGATGAACGAGGCAGACGGAAAGCTAACCTTTCGAACTAGACCAGCGAAGTAATTGCAAAGTTTTACGGGACGCGATTTCATTAAACGCAATTTCATACACCAGCTGTCTCGCATCTCCGGCCATAATGGCCGCACCCCGAGGCGTAAAAAAGTCGGCCTATAGGCCGTCGAAAAAGTCGAGTCTTTCCCAAAATAATGGGTCGACGAAAAGTGCGGAAACATTTTTCGCGAGACCGGAAATGGGATCTGAATGTCCGACGAGAACGTGGAACGGAGGAAAGCTCGGGAAATAAATTGAACAACTTTTGACGAGGCGTCGAATGCGTTCCCGTTGACCCAGGTACGCGGCGCGTCATGTGACGCGCGTCACGCGTAAGTGTCAAGCGTCGCGTCATGCGCCATCCTGTCAACCGTCATTACCATACCATCAAGTTATGCCGCTTCTCGACGAACCTAGCCGAGCTTTCTTCCCTTCGCAAATGGATAATTTCCCCTCGGTCTGACACGACGAGCATTGCAGAGCTTTAAGGTGAAATGAAACCCCCTTCAAATCAGTCGATTTGAATACAACACTTTTTTTAAGGGTATTAGACCAAACTGTCCGAAACTTTGACACATGACTCGTGATCATCTAAGAATTGTCCTGACACAATCAAAATTTGGATTTTTGGAAAAGATTTTTTACCTTAGCGCAGACCAGAACTAAAATGGCGTCGAGCTCTCATATTTCGATCCATATACAATTATCGGAGGCTCTGATATGAGAAACAAAAGGGCCAGGACAATTTTACGACAATTTAGAACACTCTGGTAATTGATAAACTCGTATTTGAACGTGATAAAGGCAAAAAAGTGTTTTATGCGCTTCTGTGCTAAAACGA